GAGCAGGTTTAACCACTTATTTCCAACAGGAAGCTCTGCCTGCACCCTGCTGGCAGGGCCGCCAGAGCCCACCCTGACCACAGGACTCCTGCTCAACTAAGCTCAGTAGGACCCAGGGTCCAGGACCCAGAGCAGGACCCCAGCCCCAGCTGTCCCAGCTCCATTTGCGGAAGGTGGTCCACGGCTCACCAGCCAGTGAGAGGAGGCAGAGCTGGCCCAGACCACCCAGATGGGGCTGTGCCAGGGGCAGCAGCTGGGGGCAGGGGGGTGCTCTTCTTGTCAGGTGGAGCAGTGACAGGGTCACTGGTGGTGACCGGCCCCCAAGAGGGCCTGAGGGAAGGACCTTCCCAAGGTGAATAGGATGTGGCTCAAGCCTGGCTCTGCCTCTAACCCACCAGCAGGGGCAGCACTCAGCACCTCTGGATACAGGGAAGCCGGAGGGCTGGACACCAGACAATTGCAGGCTGTGGCCTTCTGTGATGGGCTGACCTGTATCCCCAGAGTCCGTATGTGGAAGTCCTAACCCCAGGACCTCTTATGTGTCCTTACTTGGAAACAGGGTTATTGCCATAAATCCTTAAGATGAGGTTGTACTGGAATAAGGGGGGGGGGGGGGTGTCCCTGTGAAAGGGGGAATCGGGACACAGACAGAGTATGGAGGCAGAGATGGTGATGTCCCACCCGCCAAGGAGCACCGAGATTGCAGGAAACCACCAGAAGCCGGAGAGGCCTGGGGCAGCTTCTCTCCGGCCCCGGGGGAACCAGCCCTGCCCTCGCCTCACCTCAGGCCTCCAGGCTCCAGACGGTGGGACATGTCTGTTGTTTGACACTTTGTTAGGGCAGCCCTGAAACTCAATGTCTTCTGTCCCTAGAGAGATGAAGATGCAGACGATTTTATGTTTCTACGTCTCCTCATTATGAAAGTTTTCAAACATATGAGAACGTTTGAAAGTGATTACAGTGACCCTCACATGCCCGTCCCTTCGCTCCCACAGTAATTACTGTGTTTACTCTCATCCCCTTCTCTCTGCCCTTGGGAAGGAAGCTGCGGACAGACGTCACGACATTCCCCCTACATAGCTCAGCACATTTCTCCCCCAGATAAGAACATCTCGCACGTAATCACAAGATGACTAGCACCCTGAAAATTATAATAGTTCCGTAATGTCACCTAGTGCGTCGTCAGAGATCCCCAAGGTTGCCAGGAAGTCTTCATCGTCTTTTTTTATAGGCTCCGGGCTACAGCCACACTGCAGTTCGTTATTTCTCTGTAGTGCCTGCTCTTTTTATTGGTTGTGACGTTGACTTTCCGTCTTGTAGGATGATCCACGCAGGTGATGGTTCCCTGTGGTGCTGTTATCCTGCTCTTCTGTCCCGTGTTCCCCACCCTGAGAGGTGGATTCGGCCACTCCCTGTGGGCACGGGTGCTCCCCATGCTTTCTGAGGCTTCGCGTCTGATGGAGGGGCCTGGGCCACTCTGACAAATGCCAGGTCCGACTGTTTATTTGCGGAAGATCTTCCAATTATAAGGGTTTTCTGTGCAACCACAGCGGGCCCTAGCCCGGTTTCCCAAAGAGCTCAGCCCCTGTCCCTCTCCGAGCCCCCAGTAATGTGAGCACCGCTAACATTCTCGCCAGTGGCAGCACTTACATTATGGGTGGCACGTGGTGACTCTCCAACGCCTTCAACACATGCTCACCAGCGTCTTCAAGAGGAGACATTTCTTTCTTTTTTTTTCAACACCTTACAGATACCTTTTTAAAATATGTTTTTATTTAATTCAGTGAAAGAGGCAGGAAGAGAGAGAGAGAGAGAGAGAGAGAGAGAGAGAGAGGAGAGAGAGAGAGAGGAGAGAGAGAAACATCTATGAGAGAGAAGCATGGATTGACTGCCTCCTGCATACCCCCTACTGAGCATGGAGCCTGCAACCCAGGCATGTGCCCTGACTGGGAATCAAACATGCGGCCTCTCAGTGCATGGGACAATGCTCAACCAACTGAACCATATTGGCCTGGGCTGGGCCAGATAATTTTTGATTCTCAAATTGTCCTAAGTGTAGGTAGTAAATAAATTTTATAAGAAGCATAGGTCCCTGGGTCACCCCTCTGGGCAAAGGGGGCTCTTCCAGGGGAGTCAGAGGAGACACAGTCAATAGAAACAGGTCAGCAGGGTTGCTCCGAGGTGCCACTTACCAACCTCTCTGCGTCTCCTGCCTCCACCACGTGTGTGCACACACACACACACACACACACACACCAGCTCTGAGAGAACCCAGGTCCACACCCAGGCTAAGAAGGGTTGGAGCAGCTTCCTGGGCTGCGTGCAGTCAGTGGGCTCACAGACTGGCCTCCCGGGACCCAGTGAAGTTCTGGAACCGTTTATCCGAAGCAACGAATGCCTGCCCGCCCCATCGCCACCCTCCGCCCCCCCTTTGTGCTCCAGGACCACTGCCCCCCGCCCCACTCCACAAGTTCTGGGAAGGGCTGAGATGAGGTGGGTGAGCACTGGCACAGAGAGCCTTCCATAATTGTGTCAGCCATAGTGGAGGCTGTTTCTGGCCTTTTTCTTTAGATTTTAGGGGGAGGGAGGAATAGTTCCTATCTTTTTGTTGGACACACATTTGTTGAGCACCTGGTGTGTGTCAGACACTGTACCAGGCACTGGACACCCGAGAAGGAAGGACAGACAGCACCTCTGCCCTCACAGCAGTCCTCCACCATGCCCGAATAGTGAGTTCACCAGGGAGGCCTCAAAGCAGAGCTGCAAACCAATTTAACGAAAGCCTCGGTTGGGCAAGGGGTGCTGCTTGCCGGGCTGCCAGGTGATCCCAATGCAGGGTTGAGTCCCACCTGCCTCTTGAGTAACAGGAGAGGGAAAGGGAAGATCACATCCCAGGTGATGGAGAACCCGGGCCCCAGACCACAACGCATCCCAGCCACTGGCAGGGGGGCCTGGTGGAAATGAGTCCAAGGGCGTTTTAATAATAGATTCTAGCACAGCAATGCTAGTTTGACAAGACGGGAGTAAAATAGACATCGATGTAAGGGCATCCTGTCAATGTCATCCTTACTTCCATACTTCTGTCCCATCTATCAAAGCATCAGAAATTTCTCTGAACGCCTTGCATTTGGGAGTGAAGACTCGGGACCTGGGAGCAGCCTGGTTGGTCTTAACACATTGCAGACGGATCACGAGAATTCTCGCGGTTTCTGTTCTAAGGCTTGTGGCCAATCACGAGAATTCTTTAAAAAGATATTCGTTTGTAAGAACATGTAATAAATAACTTCAAATGCAATGGGTACTTAATTTTAAAGCATGCCTTTAACATTTATGTAAAACGTTTTTTGTACTCATTCAATAGAAACTTATCTGGCCACTGGGTAAAGCTAGCAATAAAACCACTGGTCCGTTAAGTGATGGTAGATCGCCATCTAGTGGCCAGGGGAGCAGAGGGAATAATCTTGTGAAAAACTGTCCAACTTTACTACATACAGTTAGAAACTGCAACACATATTGGAATAGGTTATCAGATTTCGCCTGTGAAATTATCTTCAAAAAACATTGTCTAAGGTAGCCCTGGCCAGTGTTGCTTGGTGGTCACCAAGATTACCGGTCAGGGCACATGCCCAGGTTGTGGGCTTGATCCCCCGCAATAGGCAACCAATCGATATTGTGGATGTTTCTCTCTCATCAATGTCTCTCTCTCTCTTTCTCTCTCTCTCTCAAAATCAATAAAAACATTTAAAAACAAACCACCAAGGTATCAGGCCCTTTTCTTTATCTATCCCTTAGCTTTTCTCAAAGGTCATGACAAGAAAGCGCCTTGGGGCATCTGCTCTGATTGTGTCTAGAAAGGTCCCATGGAGTGTCCTTTAGAATAAGCACCAGGGCAGTCTGAGTGGCGGGACACCTGGGCTGTTTCCATCTCCCCAGGACAGAAGCCGGGTCTTCCAGGAGCCCACTCCCTGCCATTAGGATAACGCCTGCCCAGGTGTGATGATGCAGAGAGACTCAGGCACCTGGCTGATGGGTGAGCGAGGGAGCAGTAGCCAGAACTTAGGAGGGAGGCTGTGACCTTTGGCAGGGACACAGCCATGCTGTGATGTCCTTCCTGAGGGTGGAGCCTAGACAATGCCAGGCCTCCATGGCATGATCAGCCCCCTAGAAAAAAGAGAAGGCCTCAAAGGGGAGAGATGGAGCCTAGACAATGCCAGGCCTCTTTGGCGTGATCAGCCCCCTAGACCAGTGATGGCGAACCTTTTGAGCTCGGCGTGTCAGCATTTTGAAAAACCCTAACTTAACTCTGGTTCCGTGTCACATATAGAAATTTTTTGATATTTGCAACCATAGTAAAACAAAGACTTATATTTTTGATATTTATTTTATATATTTAAATGTCATTTAACAAAGAAAAATCAACCCAAAAAATGAGTTCGTGTGTCACCTCTGAGACGCGTGTCATAGGTTCGCCATCACTGCCCTAGACAATGCCAGGCCTCCATGGCGTGATCAGCCCCCTAGACAATGCCAGGCCTCCATGGCATGATCAGCCCCTGCCAGGGCCCATCACCAGCCGAGCCCCACTTGCGATCCAGGCCCAGGGGCCGGGCTGATGTCTCTATAAAGGGTGGATGAGAGCAGAGAGCAGACAGGAGGGGCCCCTAGAAATGCTGGTGCCCTTTAAATGCCAGGAAGTTCAAAGCCAACGGGATCGGAAATTTTCCATGTGTCCCTCTGTCCATTCTTACCATCAGTATAGCGAAGCCACCCTTTTTAGATGGTAACAACATCCTGTTTAAGATTCCAAACCTGCTTATCCTAGTCCCAGAGGCGAGGATGAAAACCAACATCAACCCCCCAAAACAGCCCCTCTGACAACTCCCCCTGCCACTGGGGCTCAGCTCCCACAGCGACCTCCTGGCCTCTGTGAAGGGGACAGGCAGTGATGAGGCTGGTGTGCCTGTGTCACCACTGGAGAGATGTCCTGTGCCACCTTTGTCACTGCCTGCTGCCTGAGCTGCCTCCCGAGTCCCTCACCACAAGCCCCCTAGGACGTGTGCAGCAAAACCCCCACCTTGCAAATGCACCAGAGACAAGGTTATAGAAAGCAGTTTAATTTTTTTAGAAAACCACCACTCCATTTCCCCTGGCACTGCCACCTCCCGCTGCACCTGCTCCGTCCTCTCCCCACTCCCAGATGCAGGTAGGCCTTGCCCAACACCAGGTCCCTGTTCCCTCTGACCCGTTTCATTCCTCGGAGGCGGGAGCAGCAGGGTGGATGGGCAGCCAGGCTGGACAGGTGCGCCCGGCCTGGGCACTGGGACTCAGTCTGTGTCTGGGTGCAGGCGGTGAGGCCATGGACACCGGTCCTCTCCTGAATGACTCCACGGGCTTTGGGAAGTGGTTCTTCGGAGAGATGCCGGCTTCCGGGCACCCCCGGGAACTCGCCAGTGTGAATGGAGAATCAGAGTCATGTACCACCGTCCACATGGCGCTTGGGTCAGGCTGGGGGGCTCCTCCTCGAGACCCTCCTGGAGTGGCTGTGGCTGCCTCTAGCGGGCGCAGCACTTGGCCCGCCCCATGGGCCCCTGGTTCAGGGCCAGCCGGGCACCTCCCCGCCGTGTCTGGTCCTCCTTCCTCTCCGCCCTCTGCAGCAGCTCTCGAGCTGTGAGCACAGACAGAGAGGGTGGTGGGATGAGGGAGCCCCCAGCTCTGCACAGCCCTGCACATCACCCGTCCTGGGGCCCCACCCCTCGCTGACATTCACCTGGAGCCATGAAGCTCGGCCCCGACTCTCCCGCTCACCTTCCAGTCCCTAGTGACATCCTGTTGGGTCCAGGACGCCAGAAAAGAAGGCCCGATGAGGCAGAGCCCGTGATGGCCCCACCCCCGGGCTCCCTGGGGCTCCCTGGGGCCCTCACTCACCAATGGCGCTGAAGGCTTCGGTCACCTGGTGGTTGAGTCTGGCCGAGGTCTCCATGAACAGCAAGCTCTGGCTCTCTGCAAACTCCTTGCCTTCCTGAGGAAACAGCCACAAACCCGCAGCACTCGCTCACAAAGCGTTCCCTAAGACGCTAGCCGACACTTTCTCTTCACCTATTCAACACCACACGTGGCTCGGTCACCATTGCCATTTGGGGGTTTGGTTTGGTTTTGTCTCCAGCTTGTGTGAGGCCTAAGTGAGCCTCCCAGCAGCAAGCCCCCCCAGCAGGCGCAGCCCTGGGGCTGACTCCGTGCTGTGCATTGGTGCTCCCGGACGGGGCCTCCCAGGACTCGGGTCACGAGGGCTGGGGGCTCCCCATACAGGCCCCTGCCCACATCTCCCGCAGCTCTTACTCCTCCAGGGTGGGTGCTTTTAGAAGAATGACAGCTATTTAAATTTTCTATCCTTGCTCAGTTCCTGGCAAAGAAAATTGACTTCTTCGTTTGAGCCTTCTTCACGAATGTATTAGACACAAGGAAAAATCTGAAAACCCACATCTCTCAGCGTGGGTGGGTGTGGGGGGTGTGGGTGTGCACGTGAGTGGGTGCGTGAGTGTGTGCAGGCAAACACAAGTGTATGCGTGAATGTGCGTGTACCTGTGGATGTACATGTGAGAATGTGTGTGTGCATACGTGTGGGTGGCTGTGCATACGAGGGGGGGTCAGGGTCACTCCTTTCTCCTCCTGGTGACATAATGACCCGTCCCCAGCTTTACCTCGAAGGTCACCTCCCGCTCCTCGCTGAGGTCTGTCTTGTTGCCGACCAGCATCACCACGACTTCTCCAGGGAGGAACTCCCGCTCCAGGTCCTTCAGCCACTGCTGAGCCTTGTGGAAAGAATCCTCAAAAAGGAAAAAAGAACCTCAGACAAATCTTACGGGCAGTCTTCATCAGCTATCCCAGGAAAGGAAAGCAGGTGTCCATGCCACATTGTATAAAGCATGCTATGATCCTATTGACATATGACAGCCCCCCCCCCCCCCCACGCACCCAACCCTACCCCACCCGGCCTGACCCATGAGGAGGATATCTGCTCGGTCTGGGCCACAGGGACCTCTTCCCCCACCAACAGTCCCAGGAGGCTAGACAGTGCCCTGCGGACCAGGTAGTGGGGCTCCTGCCCCGGGCCCCACGTAGCCCCTTCCCTCCCTGACCAGGCCCACCTGCTTCCCAGAACTCACTTCCCTTCCCTTCCTGCTCACCTGCCCCGCCACCTCCCTGCCCCCACCCACCCAGCAGGGCTATCCCTGCTCTTTCCTCCACATTCTGCTAGAACCTTCCTGCAGGAAGCCTCCATGACTCCCCCCGAGCCCCACCCTTCCACTCTCCTGCTCTAGGTGTCTGCTCACTGGTATTTAGCATCTGCCCTGATGATATTCCGTGTGTGGGATGTGCAGCCAGAGCTGTGCCTCCCTGTTTCTGTAACACCCCCTAACCAATAGCACCCCTAACCAATGACATCTGCAAAGACCCTTTCCCCAAATAAGGCCACACTCACAGGCTCTGGAGGCTAAGATTTGGGCGTAGCTTTTGGGAAACACAATTCCACCCACTGCAGACACAGGGCAGGGCGAACACAGGCAGATGCCTTGCGACGGGCGTGGAGACACGCCGGGCAGGGAGAGCCTTACCTTGCTGGTGATGTCGTACACCAACAGCGCTGCGTTGGCGCCCCTGAAGTAGAGGTGGCAGACGCTGTGGTACTTTTCCTGGCCAGCCGTGTCCCAGATCTCAAACTTCAGAGACGTAGCACCCAACTCCACCACCTTCGTGAAGAACGCACCTGGAACACGGAGGCCCAGGGCAGCTTTATCTGGAGGACCCGGCCTCCACCCACCGTTCAGGCCGGGCCGGCGCGAGGCCTGGGCTCAGCGAACCATTGGGGACACGTGCTTCCTGCCGCCCACAGCCACACACACACACACACACACACACACACACACACACACACGGGAAGGCTGAGCAAACACCTCTTCTGGAAGGTGGCAGTTTCCATCAAGAGCCAAGTGTCGCAAATAACTGCTGCAGACACTTCATAGACACACGGAGGCTTTGGGTGGGGACATAGGCTCCAGGGCCCTAACTCACAAATCTGAGCTTTGCTTGCCAAGGTGATGTGACTTTCACATCGTTGTTGGTGGCACCAACCAGAGTGTGTGGGGTGTGTCATACACAGAACAAGACAGGGGTGAGGAGGGGGCAGGAGAGGGGCTGAGGGCGGGGGCAGGGGAGCCAGCAGAAGGGGATGGGGGCGCCAGTCAAAGCTGCTGCCCTGTGCCCACCCAGACCCTGTGTGGAGTTTGAAGCCTGTTGGGAGATTCTTGAAATTAAAACTTTCACTGCAAGGCAGAGAGTTAGTTTCTAGGGCTGCTGTAACCAATTACCACAAACTGGGCAGCTTAAAACAGAAATATATTGCTTCCATTCTGGAGACCAGAGGTCAGAAATCAAGGCGTCATGGGGTAGGTTCCCCCCTAAGCTCTGAGAGAGAATCCTTTCCATGCCGTCTCCTGGCTTTGGTGGCAGCCGGCCCCGTCCGCGTTCCTGTGCTTGTAGACACATCACCCCCGTGTCTTCCTCCGGGTTCACATGGCCTTCTCCCCGTGTCTCCGAGTTCCGACGAGGTCCCAGTCGGTGGACTCAGGGTCCACCTGCAATCCAGCACAATCTCATCTTAACACCCCTAACCAATGACATCCGCAAAGACCCTTTTCCAAATAAGGCCACACTCACAGGCACTGGAGGCTAAGATTTGGACTTGGCTTTTGGGAAACACAATTCCGCCCACTGCAGACCGAGGGCTGGGTCAGGATTTCAGCACAGAGCTGGTCACATCATGATTCTCTCATGAGACTCTAGTTTGGGGAGACCGCCAACCAGGTCCTCTGCCGGCACGTCCCACATTTTCCTGCTTGTCCAGGAGCTTGAATCAGATAAACTCCCTATGTGTATGGACCGAATGTTTGTGTCCTCGCAAAATTCACAGGTTGAAGCCTAATCCCCAGTGTGAGGGTATGAAGAGGTGGCCTTTGGGGGGTGATTAGGGTTAGATGAGGTCCTGAGGGTGAGGCCCCTGTGATGGGATTAGTGCCCTTATGGGGAGAGACTCAGAGAGCCCTCCCTCTCTCCTCTCCCTCCCCTCGTGCAGGCAAAAAGAAGAGGCTACGGTGAGTGCGGTTAGCTGGCCGCCACCTACACACCAGCAGAAGGGCCTCAGGAAGTAGGCACCTTGATCGCGACTTCCAGCCCCAAAACGGCGGTGCTTGCAGGCGGCCAGAGCAGACTGACTGGGTCAAACAAAGCCGCAGTCTCTGTCTCAACGTGGGGACTGATGGCTCCCCGCTCACGCGGGCTCATGGGCAGGAGGGAAATGGACACAACACAGCAGGTGCTCCGTGGGACTGATGTCCTGAGGGTGCAGGCCGGTGCAGGCCGCGAACGGGCCTTGGAGGGGCTCTGTCAGCTGCACGACTTGGCCCCCTTGCTTCAACCTTCTACAGCTCAGCCCCCTCTTCACCATGGGCCAGGGGCGCCCTCTGCCCAGGTGGCTGTCGGCTGCCACACGAAGCCCCCTGCCTGCCCTCTGCTCTCCCGAACGAGTTGGGAATGTCAGCTGTTACTCCACATCCTTCGTTCGTTTTCCACCACGTCGAGTCCCATTTCTGAATCTGATGTTGGTTGTGCCTTAAAAGTCGTCACTGCAGGTTGCACGTGGGCACCTCCTCCATTCAGTAGCCAAGCTCCTGACAGTTCCCTTTTTTGTCTGAAAATGATGACAGCGGCTCCGCTTCAATCAATAGAAAGTCCCAATAAATTTTCAAGGGGTTCGGGGTTTTCAGTGCAAGTGGCGATGAGGCAGGAGTGACTGAGTAGTTACAGAAGACAGAAGCTTGTCTTCCCCGGAGAGAAACACAGGCCCTCAAGTAGGCCCTGGGTGGGACTGAGGCGACCTTTAACCCCACCCCGTAGACTCCTTGTCTCCAACTCGGAAAAGAGCCCTCGTTTATTACCTTCATTTTCAGAAACCCACTGATACTCGCTATATTAGTGAACGAATGAATGGATGGATGAGTGAGTGAATGAGTGAACTCAGAGAAACAGATGGCTTGTCCATGGCAGAGTCCAAATTTGAAACCAAAGCTCTGATTCTGAGTGAGGTGGCTTTCCACCCCGCCCGCGGCCTCCCGGGAGGACTGGCGTAAAGAACATGCTGGGTTTCCTTATTTTGGGTGGGGACCGGGGTTTTCACTGCAGGCGGGATGTGAAGGAGGCCAACAGCCCAGCAGACCACATAGACCTTGACCTCTGGGAGCCCTATCCTGGAGTCTCTTTCAGAAGAGCAGTGAGAGGGTCGGCCCTACTGCCCCCGCCCCCCATCCCCTCACCCCCTGAATCTAGGCCCGGCTGGTAAATAGTCCAGGCAGAAAGGTGGCTGATTGCTCACAGGTAACCTGCCCAGGGCAGTGCTTAGCAGAGGGAGACTGGGCAGGGTGAGAGGCCCCTTGGCCAGGTGGCTGAGTGGCAGAGCCTGGAGGGCTGCTCCCTGGCTCCTCCCAACCCCCACTCGACACAATCCCCACACCCAGCCCCTGGGGCCAGAGGCCCTGACCCTAAAGCTCCACCCCTGCAGACTCCGCTGAGCTCTGGAGGCTGTTGTGCCTCCCCGCCGGGACCTCATCCCCTCCCTGCCCGGGCCCATGATGCCCGAGGCTCCAGACAATGTCTGCCCCGAGTGCCTCTCCCTGGGTCACGCCCTGGCTTCTCCCCTTGGAGACTAAGAAAGGGTGTCGGTCCGTCACTTACACCCCACGGTTGGCAGGATGCTCTTGAAGTCGTTCTTCACGTATCGGAGAGCCAGGCTGGACTTGCCCACAGAGCCGCTTCCCAGGAGGACCAGCTTGAACACGTGGGGCTGCCCCGCCCCGGGCTGGGGGCGCCCGTCTGCCTGCGCCATGGCCTGTGGAGACACACAACGTCCGCCACCAAATAACCTCAGCACCTTCACCCGCAGCACTGCCTCCCAGCGGAGGGCAGACAGTCTGGGATGGATGAACAGACAGAGGGACTGATGGAGCTCCAGGTCACTGCTCCGCTCTGCACCCCAACTCCTCATCTGGAAAGTGGGGGACCGAGCTCAGTGGTTAGAGCATTGGCCAGCTGTGAGGAATGTGAGCAGCTGTGTGTGGGAAGCGCGGCGGCGGTGCCCAGCAGAGACCACTGTACAATAAAGGGCTGCAGGCCCTGAGCAGTGGTGGGCCAGTTACCATATGGGCCGACTGTCCTCATTCCACAAATCCTCCCTTTTTAAAAATCTACTACTTTTTCCAAAAAGTGTCTGAAACATCTGGGAGGTAAAGTACTCTCTCTGTTCAGGGTGAACGGATTTAAAAAAAAAAAAAATCTAGCCCTTGCTGGCTTGTTCGTGGTTAGAGGGTTGGTCAGCTCACCAAAGAGATTCGATTCAGCCCCGATCAGGGAGCAGGGAGTATGCAGAAGGCTCTCTCTCTCTCCCCCCCCCCTCTCTCTCTCTCTCTCTCTCTCTCTCTCTCTCTCTCTCTCTCTCCTACCCCCTCTCCCACCCCCATCTATCATTCCACTCTCTTTTTAAAACAATCAATGGAAATACATACTCGGGTGAGGATTTAAAAAAAAAAACTACCTAAAAGGGGATGGTGTTTCAAAAATATCTGTCTAAAAAATGTTGTTGTTTCAAGGATCTCAAAACACGTTACCTTCCTGTGGTTCGGGAGACCCCGAACCCACCCTGAGGTGCCCTGCAGGAAAACAGCTCTGCGGTCAAAATAAGTTTGGGCAAACCCTGCATATGTGTTCACTGTGGAAACTTACAGACACAGAGCACATGGGGGGAAAGGAGACCATTCTATGGACCTCATGCAGGGTCACCCCCATCCACCACGGCCAGCCGAGCGCATCTCACCCACGTCCCAGATCCCCCAGCACAGAGATTAGTCTGAAGCAAGTCCCCGACATGCTGTTCTTCCATCTGCAGCTCTCAGTCTACATGCACGCATCCTTGTTTCCTTTACAATGTGTCTGTGGAGAAGCCAGAGCATCCCGTGGCTTCCTAGCCTGACTTGCTGATTGTATCCCTAGGTCGCCATTGACTGTGTTCCTGCGAGCCCTGTCTTTTCCGTAGTGTGGTGGTTCAAAACAGAAACCTGGTCAGATAACAGGCTATTTTTTGGCGAGAATGCTTCGTGAGTGTGGTGGACATTTCCCAGGAGGCAAATAGTGTGCAGGAGTCTCCTTGTGATGCTGCGACCACTGACGAGCATTATCAGAGCCTATTTTTAGGGGGCTGCAAAACGATGGCATTTTTAAAAATTTTTAATCCTCACCTGAGGCTGTGTTTTTATTGATTGTAGGGAGAGAGGAAGGGAGCCAGAGAGAGAAACATTGCTGCAAGAGAGAAGCATCCATCAGTTGTCTCCTGTAGTCATTCCAAGCAGGGATCGAACCCGCAACCTCTTTGGTGTACGGGTCAACGCTCAACCAACTGAGCCACCTGGCCAGGGCAATAGTGGCATTTTAACACCATTTGTCTTTGCTTATTACATGGATTGCTTCCAGAAAGAAGGACTTCCCTAAAAAATATCCAAACCCTCCACAGGCAGTCACCTGGGTGGAAAAGAGGGAGGCCCCCACCCAGGGTCGGGTGGGAAGAAGGAAGGGGAGGAAGTTTGGAGAGGAAAGCCGAGGTGGGGTGGGGGTGGGGGGCGTGGAGAGCAGTGAGAAGAGGACCAAGCTCCCCGGCGGTCCCAACAAGCACCACGGTTACAGACTGCCCTGGTCGCCCGCCAGGACAGACGAGAAGAGAGTTTGGGATGGAAATCTCAAAACAAACAGGACTGAGTCCTCGATTCCAACAAAGCTGTCCTAAATAGAACGTGACTGGAGCGTGGTGGGCCCAGCAGAGCAGGGGCACGGGCTCTCCCACGCCTGGGGAAGCGGGGTCAAGTAACAGGTCTGGAACGCCCCTCAAAGGGACACTCTGGGGTTTCACCATCCAGTGTGATGCCTCATGGTACGAACGTATGACGTTTCAGAGAGGGGTTAGGGAGATAAAAGTGCTTACATAAAAGTTTTCCATCCATGTTTTTCTAAAGCTCCCCATTATCTGCTGTGGAGACTAAAAAATATATTACTACTTTCTCTCCCACCTTCTCAGTTCCTCTGGCTTGGCTACTCATCCAATTAACAGAGACAGATTAACAGGAGAAAATCAAAGTTGTTAACACACATGCACAGGGAATTCACATAGACATGAAAACCCCAGACAGTGAGGGAACATCAGGGATATGAGACATTTTTGGACAAAGGAGTGAGAATGGGCGATTTACAGGTAGTTGACACACACACACACACACACACACAGGCACACGGCAGGAAAGCCCCAGGGACACTGGTTTCCAGCGAGCAGGCCTGGAGTCTTCCCGACTAGAGTGAGGGCAAAGGTCCTTAAGGTCGTGAAGCCAAGCCTCCCTTCCTGAAGCAGGTTTGTCTAAACCTCTTCAGGGTCAAAAGTTCTTTTTGAGTCTTTTCTTTCTTAATAAACAGCTTGAAATCCATATCCCAAAAGGTAGCTTCAAGACGGCAAAACTCTGCTTCCCTTCACTGATGAGGCTGAGGACCACCGCTATGATTTTGTCCATTTTCTTCACAGAAGTAACAGTGCCTCTAATAACTAATGGAGGGAGCCCAGCCGGCATGGCTCAGTGGTTGAGCGTCAACCTATGAACCAGGAGGTCATGGTTCGATTCCCATGCCTGGGTTGTGGGCTCGATCCCCAGTGGCGGGCATGCAGGAGGCAGCCGATCAATGATTCCTTCTCATCATTGATGTTCCTATCTCTCTCCCTCTCCCTTCCTCTCTGAAATCAATAAAAATATATTTTATAAATAAATAACAGAGGGAGGGGAGCGAGGAAGAAAGGGAGGGAGGGAAGAAAACACAGGGTACTGTGGAAAACAGGAAAAGGCAAATAACCCATCAAAACACCAATGTTTTGAAACATTTGCCTGAACTGAGAAATTTCTTGGAGCCTGAGGCCGAAGAGGAGTGACTTGGGAAGGAGCAGGGTCTCCGCTGAGAATTAGCAGGGGCGGGCTCTAGGAGCAATCTGGTCTAGACCTGCCCGGGTCTGCCTGGTCCTGCTGGGGTGTCGGGGCTCTGGGCGCCCAGGGTTCCTGCATCCCACAGACCCACCGGCACTTGGTGAGGGTGCTGGAGGAGCATTCTGCTCTCGGAGAGCCCACCCACCCGTGCAGAACTCCAAGCAATTCATTCACAGATTCTGACCCCTGGTAGGTAGAAAATGAAACCCAAAGGCAACGTACACAACCTGAAAGTGGGAAAGCACCTGAAAAGCCAGCTGGCTTCCGGGAATGAAATTTACAGCCCTGGGGATTCAGCAAGTCCAGACTCCCGCGAAGCCCAGAGAGATAGCAAGAGGTCAGAGTTCAACATCACCAGAGAGTTTCCAACTACTCTCCGTCAAATACACCGGGACGGCCTGGGGGAAGGGCTGCTGATCTGTTCGCTTCTCTCTGTTGGGGGTGATACAAATCTCCCTCGGCTGGCGGCCTCCTCTCTGGTCCTGCAGCTGCCAGCCTGGCCCCGATCATGTGTCCAGTCCCCATAAATAGCATTTAATAAAACAGACTTCATGGGGCCCAGGTCCTGCTCCTCTTCTCCAGTGAAATTATCTCAGTTTTAACTCTACCTTAATTCGTAGAACTAATTTTTTAATGACTTATTGCTCTTGCTGGGCTGTAACCTCTAATGAGATTTAATTTATATAATTATTTTGTTAATATCTGCTCCCTCCCACTGGGCTGCAGCCACTCAAGAGTGCATGGACTGTATTCCTGGGGCACACAGTAGGTGTTCCATAAATATCTCAGAAACCCACACGGACTCACTTAGCAAGAAGCCCTCATTGGACAGACGTGCTGTTTCCAGAGCATGGTTTGCACAGCCAGTCACACCAGGCAGCCCGGCACGTGGTGAACTGGTACAGGCAAAGCAGGGAGCAGAAGGGCCTCCAGCCGCTCAGCTCCCAGTGGCCAAGAAAAGTAGCAAGTGACTCACTCAAAGGCCACCCTGTGAGGGTGCGAGGGTGAGGAGCGGAGCTTATTGAGCCGGGCTGCCCTGAGCCTCCTATGGAGCTGAGCAGGAGGACTCTGGGGGCCCCTGCATTACCCCGCCTTACTGGGAGCCAGCAGCTCCTCTAAGACAAACAGGCAGAATTAGGAGCCCAACGGCGGCCTTCACACCCACACGAGATGCACTGGGCCCTGGCGTGACTTCAGCGAGTCAGGAAAGTGCAGGACTCACTCCTAATGCACAGCATGGAGTTTACAGCTAACAATACTGCATTTTATACCTCGAAGTTGCTGAGAGAGTAGATCTTCAATTCTCACCACAAAAGAACAGTACTTAAGTGACAGGCTGGAGGTGTTACCTGACGCGATGGTGGTCATCGTGTTGCAATAGTGAATACAACATGTTACGCCTCTTAACTTACACTGTCTCATACATCAGTTACACTGGATAGAACCGGGAAGGGGGGATCCTCGAGCTTTCTGTGCCTCCTGGGCTCGTACGTTGTTTCTGGCTGGAAGTTCTTAAGGCACCTGCTTAGGCGCGGGTGGTCCATTGACTGGTGCTGTAATTATTACTTTCTGTAATACACAGAAAGTCCTGACACACCTGCAGTGATGCGTTCTCACGCATCGATAGCCCTCAAGTTCTCCTTGCTATCTTTGTGTACCAGTTAGTAACATTCTTCTTGAGTCAAGAAAATCTTTAGCCCAAAACATGTTTTAATTAACCAAAGTAGGTGGACTATGAATGCCTAGACCATTTCTGAAATTCCAGGTGCCTGTGTCTTACTCCTTTGGCAATGATACATCTTTGTTGAAAAATATTATTTTACTATCAGTATAAATACATCATGCTCAATATGAAAAAATTAAATTACTCATAATCCCATGCCCTTAATACAACCAGGAATAGCATTTTGCTTACTTTCTTCTAGTTTTTTAATGAATCATAAAAACAAACAAACCAAAACCCATAGTTTTAACATATACTTTTGTATCCTACCTTTCAAACAACAACATCTATCAAAGGCAGTTTTGCACATTGCTACATATTATGTATGTTCAATGACCATGTAACATTCCTACAACTATTCTAATTTAATGAGCCATTTTCCTACCACTGGAGCATCACTAGGTTTTAATTCTTTTCTCTGTAATGAATCAGCCTCAGTGAGCATTTTTATGTATAATTTTTGTGTGATTACAGTTGTAAGCTTTCGCTAATCAGAGGTTGAAGCCCTCTGTTCAGAGCGAAAATTGAAAACTCCAGGCCTGACCCCACCTCCAGATCTTAATCAAGGCGGGTCTTTGAAGTCTGTAAGGGAGAAGCTCCAGGAATGTGGACTGGGGAGCAGGGCTAATAGACACTCTCTCTAGCATCTCCGTTTGGGGCCTTTCATTCCTTACAAGCCTCCCTCCTGCCCACCACAGCAAAAGGAAGGGCTGCAAGCTACCTAGTCGGGGAGGACATTCCAGGGCGGGGCTGGCTCACTGAGTCTCCCATCAGGCGTCCCTCGAGTGACCCTCCCAGCACGGAAAGAACTGAGATTACTGTGAGGTTCCCGTACTGACTGCGCACCTGGATCCTCCTCGCTGCGAGCACTTTACCCGCAAGGCCTGTCACTGCAATCTAAGCAGGAATCTCCTGCCAGGACCCCGACCTCCCTGAGCCAGGTCCTACACGGCACTGTGGCCCTCGGTCCCACAGACTCCTTCCCCTCACTGTGCCCTTGTGATCATTCATGTGTGGGTACACAGACAGACACACACAGACACAATTATCCGCATAGAGAGACACACACACAGACACACACAGAGATAGACACAAACACACATACACACACAGAGACACACACACACACATATATACACACACGCAGACACTGCCAAGTATATAGAAGTTTAAACAATGACTCACGTGTTCCCAGGCCTGGTCACTTCCCGGGAGGCTGACAGGCCATCATAACCGGGCCTGCGGGGCCCCTACCTGCCTCCCTCTGCCCTGGGGAAAGGTCGGCTTCCCGTACCAGGCAGCCGGCTGAGCGGTGGCCAGGGCAGCTGGGTGGGTGGAGGCCGGGCTCCAGCAGAGATGGGGGAGAAGCAGCCCAGCCCCCGCCCCCCCGGTCCCTAAGACAGGCCACTTCCTTCTGCCAGGCTCCCAGGGCAAGGTCCTCTGGTCACGTGGCCACCTAGGTGGAGGCTGGACCTTAGAGCGGGCCCAGCAGCAGCACCTGGGCGCCCAGCCGGAAGTGAGCCTCCTGTCAGGGGTTTGTGTCACCTGATGCCCCCAGTTCCTGAGCCTCCTGGGGGCCTCATTTCAGCTCCTTCCTCGGGCTGCTGGCAGCTTTGCCCACTCGGCAAAGGAGAGAAGGCAGAGAACTCGGTCCTTCCACGGACAGCGGGAGCCAGCTCCTGGGGACCTGCACCTGGAATCAGACGCCAGCCAGGCGGGCTGGGTCGGGTCAGATGACAGCTCCTGGCCGGGTGCCACCTGGGGACAGGGTGCTGTGGGTCTCTAATGCCATCTGCCAGCTTTGTCACCCTCCAACCTGACTGTGTTCCTCTGTGGAACCAGGATCTTGGGAGCCATTGCAGAAGCCCGCCTACCATAGTGCCCGAGCCAAAGCGCCCAGGGAAGGCGCGCCACGCCCAGGTGACACACAGGGAACCAACACCTGGGGCCTCGGGCTCAGGCTCAGGCTGAACCCAAACAACCTACTGGCCCCTCCCCTCGTCGAGAGGCCCAGGGGCACCACGGACACTGAGCTCAGATACCCAGGAGGCTGGGCTCCTCGCTGCTGTGGTCTCAGGGGTGCCCAACCTGCAGTCTGGGCAGCCGTTCCCTGAAACCTGCAGGGCCCTCCCACAGGCACTCAGCACGCCGCTGCCCCTCTGTTCCCCCACCTCCCAGGCGAGGGCGCTGGGCCAGAGGCTCCCTGTGGCCACCGCGATCGGGTCTCAGCACCAGAGCCACCAGGAGGAAGAACCTGAGTCAGAAGACCCTTCCCTTGCAGACATGCCAACGGGGAGGGGAGACAGAACACAGGCGTCCTGACCACCACCCCACCCGGACGCAGCACTGTGCACACCAGAGCTTGTTGTGGGAATTAAGCAAAAATGACGCGTAAGCGAAGTACTTGCATGGCACAGTTAGCTCTTGGTACGTGGCTATACGGACCTTACTTTCTCTCTGGCACTTAATCAGCTTTCCTGCCTCCGCATGAACAGGGAGAGTTCCCTCTGCGCCGCCTACCCAGGCTGCTGTACAGGCAGCGTGCTCTCAGCTTATCCCCCTTTCGAAAGAAATGCAAAATTACAAAATTTTAGAGCCAGGAGGACCCCTGGGGATTGTCTGGTCTGAGCACCCTCCCGGTGTCTACAGAATCTTGGCAACACCCCCACCCATGGACTCTTCAGTCTCTGCCCAAAGGTGACAGGGACGGGATCGCCTGCCCCGAGGCAGCCACGCACCTGGCTCCTTTCCGGCCATCCCACACGGGTCTTGTATAACTTTCCACCCAGCTCCCGCCCGGGCCACTCAGCCAGAGCCTGCTCCACTGTTGCATAAACATTTCTGAGCCTCTCAGAGCAGCTCTCAGGGCTGTGGCCCCCGCTGCGCTCAGACCCATGGCTCCCTAGCTCCTGTGAAGAGACCCGGGGTGGCTCAGATTGTTAACTAACGCATCTCCTTTCCAGTGGGCATGCCCGGTGGCCCTGCTCCTTGGATATGTGAGAAGAGGGGCTCCCTTCCTCCGTGCGGCTTCCATGCAGAGCTCTCGTTAAGGAAGGAACTCGTAGTGTGATTGCTATCTGAGGTGCAGATCTTCCAGAATGCTCTTATCTGCTGAGACCTTGCAGATAAGCAGGAATGGTGGCCTGCCTTGCCCCAAACCTTCATCCTCGCTTATCTCAATGGAAAATTCCAGCAGGGATTTCTGAACTCCAAGTGAAATTCCTCCCCTCAACAATGGGTGTGGTGCTTGGCTGCTGGCCAGGCCGGGCAGAGCGGGGCAGAGCAAAGTCCAAGGCCAGCGGTGACAGGACAGGTGCCCACACAGAGGCCACCCCGGGTCACACACGGCGCTAAAGGAGCAGAGGGCACAGGCAGGAGAGACCCGCTCACCTGCCCAGGTGGAAGGGGAAGGGTCAAGGGATACTCCTCCCAGGAGGAGATGCTGACACACGGATGGACAGACGAATGGATGGAGGAGAAACTGGCCCAGAGGCCAAGAGGAGGAAAGGCTTTCTGAGCCCCAGAAGCAGTGTGAGTGGTGTGAGGCCTGGCGCGCGGCGCTGTGGGACGCAGGGGACACTGTCACCAAACGCGGAGTCAGGGTGGGTGGCCAGAGGGATGAGGGTGGAGAGGCCCAGTCCAATTCCACGAACACTAGAATCAACGAAAACAGAGTACCTACCTTTCATTGAGTGCCTACTCTGTGCCTGGCACGGTGTAAGTCCTTGCCTTAGAGCAGCCGTGGGCAAACTACGGCCCTCGGGCCAGATCCGGCCCGTTTGAAATGAATAAAACTAAAAAAAAAAAAGACCGTACCCTTTTATGTAATGATGTTTACTTTGAATTTATATTAGTTCACACAAACACTCCATCCATGCTTTTGTTCCGGCCCTCCAGTCCAGTTTAAGAACCCATTGTGGCCCTCGAGTCAAAAAGTTTGCCCACCCCTGCCTTAGAGCATCCTTCTCACAGCCACGCCACCCTGCGGGCCACACCTGAGGGCCCTCTGCTGGCCTCTTCCAGCCCTGCCCCTCCTTGTGGGCGAGGCGTTTCTATCCTGAGACAGTAGATTTCCCTGCTCAAGGAGCCAAATCCCACTTCCAGGGCCTGCACGCCTCTGCACTGGGTGCACCCTCCCAACCAGGCCACCAGCATGTGTGCCCAGGGCCCAGGGACCAAGAGGCAGCCAACAGTGGGCAGCATGTGCAGAGATACAGGAAGACTTGATAAATGAAGACACTTCACGTGTTCCCAGACCAGAGACTGAACACCCTGACGCTGACACTTCCGCTGACTCCGTTTAATGCAGCGTGAGTTAGCATCTCATTAGCATGCTTGATTAAACACCTGCACCACAGGCTGTGGCAGCCCGGCTACGCCTCATTTCTTGTCTCGGTGGGATAATACGTGCATCCCTGCTTAACGCGCATCCCTGGTGAACAGCACACAGAGCTGAGTGTCAGCTCTTTCGTCCTGACTTCTGGTCGGGGTGCCTGGCCCATGTGCCTTTAATGTGGTCACTGGTATGGTTCTGCTCGAGTCCACCATCTTCTGTGCACGTTCTATCTCTTCCCACTGCCTTCATTCCTTTCTTCCCCCTTTCCTTCTCCTTTTGATCTAATGGAGTATTTTTAGTATTTCATTCTATCTCCTTTCCTGGTTTCTTAAGTCTATTATAGCATATCTTTTTATTTGATTCTTTTTTAGAATTTCTAAATCTCTCCTGAAATTCACCACTTTCTTTGCCTGTTGTATGCACCTTTCCCAACAGAAGCGTCACCATTTCTGTCATCGTATTTCACACTCCTCATCTACTAATTCTAACAGCTGGTTAGTGTGTGGGTCTGATTCCATAGATGGTTTGTTTTGTTGTCTGTTTGTTGACCACAGGTCATATTTTCCTGTTTCTTCATCTATCTGGGGACTGTCACTGTGTGCTGAACGTTGTGAATGGCGTTTTGGCAAAGGCTGGAGATACCTTCCCTTTGGCGAGAGTGGACACCCTGCAGAGGCCCCGGCTGGGCGTGTGGACAGCACCGTTTCTGGAGACACGGGAATGTGTGTCCATGGGCTCAAGGACAGTGCGGCCTCAACCCAGCTGTGGTCCCACACTCAGCAGCACCTGGAACCCGGAGAGAATGGCTCGGTTCTTTAGTTCATCGAAGCTTTTAGCTGCACTCAATGCTGACAATAAAATTACCCACATGCCCAGCAGGCCGACACGCAGGAACCTTGTGAGAAATCGGAGCTGAGAGTGGGGGGTGGGATTGAGCTCCATCTCGATCAACATCTGAGGCCTGACTTTGTTGTATCTAAGCTCACCTGGGCTCCAGGCTATCGGATTCCCTTTTCTTTTCCTTTTTACGTGGTTCCTCAATTTTCACTGGGTTTCCTGACTGTCCTCCCCAGGAAAGAGACTCTGGAACAGACCCACCCAGCACCCACCCAGAAGGCCCACCTTCCATTCCTGGGCAGCCTTGGGTAGCATGACCAGCAGCAGAGGCCACAGGCCGCTGGGCCCATGTTCTCCCCGAGGGCGAGTGTGCGGGGGATGAGAGGGGGACTGAGATGCTCACAGCCACATTCAGAGGGAGCCAGGCAGGACTAAAGAATGATGCAGACCGAGGGAAAGCCCCGTCCTATGAGAAGTGGAACCACTATGCATATCAAGGTGCTGGGGCCGCTGTTACCAAGGACCACAATCTGGGCTCTCAAACCGTGGGAGATTATCTCACAGCTCGAGATCCAGGTGTGGGCAGGGCTGGCTCTTTGTGAGGCCCTGAGGGAGAATCTGTCCCGGCCTCTCCCAGCTGCCGGTGAATGAGGGAATGGATGGACACACTTCCTCTAGGGACTGACATAATTTGAGCAGCCTGCATTTTGATGGTTGCCCCCACAATCCATTCATCAACCATCCAGAAAAGCAAAAGCAAGTTCTTGCCCAAGACTGGGAAGCAGAAAGTTAATGATGATCCCTACACATGTGTGCCCACACAGCACACACAAACACAAACACAAACACACAAACACAATCATACCTGGGATGTGCAGCCGGTCTCGTCTCTTCTTTGTTCTCCTCTCCGTCGGGCACCAGCACGTCTTTGTCCCCTTATCTGGGCTTGCTCTGCATGGCCGTCCCTCCTTCTGGGACCAGCCCTGGCCCGTCCCTCAGCCCTGTCCCTTCCGTCCCACGCCCACTCTCCTCCCCAAGGCCAGAGGCCCTCCTCCTTCTTTGGAGGGGTGTCTCCTGTCTCTCCCCGAGAGGCAGCCAGAGGCTTTGGTCAACAACTAAGGTGCTGAGCAAGGATCCAAAGCCCCCTCTCAGCGTGACAGGACTGGAGTCCTTGGAGAGGACACAGAGAGGGCTTAAGGGAGAAAATATAATTTTCTCCTGCCCTTCTGAGTTCTGGGCTGAGGCCGTGTAATAAAAGGCAGAGGAATAAGAGAAAACAAACCGAAGTTTATTCATATGTATACCTCATGGGAGATGCCGAGGGGACATCGGTCACTCCCCGGTGGCCTAAGCCACGCGCTTAAATTCCATCTTCAGCTAAAGACAAAAGACAGAAAGAGCTCAGTTATGGGGAGGTCGCAGGAAAGGCACCGGAGCCGGGCAAGGCTGTTTGCAGCTTGTGCGCCTTCTCCGTGGATAAGAGTCCCTGCTGGTGTCGAGCTGTCTCCTCTCCCTGATTCCGGGAGGCAGACACCTTTACACTCGACGATATCCCTCATTCATGCACAGTGCTCTACAAAAGGGCAACTTCCACTGTTTTCTGAGCGTCTCTGTTTGCTGTTTCACACAATAATCAGCTCAGACTAGTCCTCACACCAGAGGCAGATGTTGGCTTCGTGGTTTAATACTTTCACCCTGAAGGCAGGAAAATCCTGGCCCCAGAGGCCAGGTAAAGCAAGGCTGACTGCACAGCTTCCTCTGCTACTGTTTCTTCCC